TTTTTGCAGTGCTCGTCAAGTGTGTCTTCCTCCCAGTCGACTTGCTCGTCACAATGGGTAGAGCGCATGTACTTCTGGCAATCACTGAACTCTACCATAATCGCGGCATCTTGATGTTAACGTCACTTTCTTTGGTTTTAAGGCAGACATTCTTCCCCATTGAGTTGACTTCGAGAAACGAGCAAGATACGGAGAGCAGCGAGGGTGACTGCATAGAACGACTTGTCTCTAGTACGAACTGTACGAACCATCGCGTTTTGAGTCCAATTTCGCGTTTTGTCGCGGTCGATTTTCGCCTTAAAACGTCATACAACAGCCCAGAGGGCTGCGGCGTGGAGCACGAGTCATTTTAACAGTACTTTACAAGAACGTCCCCGACGGGTATTGCAGCTTCTTACAGTACAATTATATGCTCCCTTTTCTCTGAATTAGGTACTGTTTAGGTAGAGTAAATCTTCAAACCAGCCACTATTTCCAGTGGTATTACCGCCATTTTCCTCTCTAAAGCAAAAGAGTGGGCTTACTTTATGGTGGCACTTCGTTAATAAAATGTGTACACCCCCATTCAAAAAAACAAAAAAACAAACATACATTTATATCGTTGTTCGGACACGTTCAGAGTATGCCTGGAAGTTTATTTAACTTCTTCTAGTCTTGTATATCTTTTCATGGGTATGTTATTGGATCCATAAGCTAACATCAATAACTTCGAAGGGATTTGGCGTAACTTGCATGTACTCTACAAACCGCGGTACACACAGCCAAAGATGTTCAGCGTATGAAAAGAATGCTTCGTTTGTTGAGTTTTGATGCTCGACGTCCTACAAGAAACATGTGTCTTTCTAACCACTGATCCATGCTTTCAGTAGGGACCCGCTTCAGGCGGCGCCTACAGCCCTGGGTAGGGGTGTGAATGTAGCTCACCTTGATCACCCCATTCAGAGGGAGTGACTAGTTTGTAACGTGTAACGCGTTACATTAGTTGACTCCTTGCCTTCCTTCTCACGGTTGCCTTAACTGGCTGCCGATACTCCGGGTCTGTGCACGGGCCTGGGGCGCTGTAGTAGGGAGTATCGCCGTGTCCCCACCGTTGTCCACCAGAGCGCGCGCATGCTGGCTCTGCTCTGACCACGGTGGTGACCCTGGTTCCGCCCCCTTCCTCCTCTCTCCGCCGTTGTTTACCTGGGGATGCGGGATCGGATAACCCGGTCTTGCATCTCCAGCCTCGACAGCGGAGGGAGGTGCGATCGCAACTTCCTTGTAACCTCCAGGTATGGACCAGCTGATTCACGAGACGAGGGTGACCGTTCTGTGTGCTGACACTGTGTTTTTTTTTTTGTTTTTTTTTTGTTTTCTTCATCACTTCCAGCTTTGATGAGGTTAGGGTTGACGAGGAGCTTTAAGGAATTTGTCCGCGCCATGTCCATGGCCGGCTAGAGACCAAGACGGGCCTCTTCTCTTCTCGCTTCTCCTGCTTTCTCGCCACAGCCGCACCGCATATCTCATGGTAATAAGTAATGTCCCCAACAGTAATGTAATGTCCTGAGTGTGAGTGTGAGTGAAAGGGGGGTGGTCTCCCTGGATTGTTTGGCATGGCCAAATTAAGTGTATGAACGTTGGGTCATTGAGGCATGAGTGCTTGTAGTTCGCGACACTCTCCCATGATCCCAACGTTCATTGCGCTAGTATATAGATCTTCGGAGACCACCCAGTGTGAATGAGTGAATGTTGTGTGTGTGTATATTAGGTAATGTTAAGTATTGCTACTGCTGTTTTTGTACCACCAGTCCACTGCTCAATAAATCATAAATAAATATATTTCTCAATTAATATGGTGTGTCCTCAGTGGGAGTTTACTCCCTGGCGCCCAATCAAAAACTTTACTGATAGAACACACCCCCTCTGCCTTTATGCTGGGAAGCCGGAGTGTAAGACCTTTTGAGAGTACATGTATATTTTGGTCATAAGTTTGAGTTTAGGACTCTTTCCAGTTTGTCCTAAATAACCTGCCATGACAGCTGGTGTGCGCGGCGCATGTTGAACCACAAGGAGTTCTCCGTATTTTCGCCACTTTGAAGTTCAACGATGAATCTGTCATCATCAGCAGCATTAACTGCCTCCCTCTGCCTTTGAAGGACCGAGTCAAAGAGGGATTTCATGAGCCCCTCTGTGGGTAGACTGTTACTGAGACCCCGTATTGCCATTACCTTCTCCAAGTAGGTCGCTTTAAACAGTTTAAGTTCACGCTCACATCAAGACGGTTTGCAGTACCTCCAGTCCAGTGTATGCTGATCCTTCGGCTCTTCGTCCTCATCCCGGGGTCGTTTTGAGGGTCCCGGTTGAGCTAAGGGTTTCCTACAGGGTCCCCGTTGAGGGGCCTCGAGGCCTCGAGGGACCAGGTGGGGGTGAAGGTTGAGTGGCAGCGGGCTGTCGGGGTGGCGTGGTAGGGCGTAACGGATTGTCAGAGGTTGACTCACCGTCGCTAATCAAAGCCATCGCTACTTTAAATGAGCCGAGCGCATGGCGACTATTCCCGCGATGTTGACGAACGTGGGCTTCATACCCCTGCTTAAGGAACCCCGTCAGCCGAGCGTCCTGCAGCTCCTCGCCAGAGGTATTAGTGAGGGCCATGAGCATCTCACAATAAGCCTCATCTATTAAAAGTTGAGTGTAGAAACCTGCCCCCCCCCCCCCTCATTCGTCCAAAATCTCCGTCACAACGGAGGGCAACTTGTCCTGCTCGTCAGCAACCAAGCTGACAGACGCTCGCGAAGAGAAACAAGCTCACAGCCCGAGGGCGGAGCAAAGGCTCACGAAAAGCACACACTTCAATAGCGCTAAGGCTAAGAAGTAAGTAACGGCGCAATTATTTAGGTTAGTACAAAACCACTGGCACTTACAGCAGCACAGCGGGAAAAAAACAAGCAGGCCCGCCCTTCCGCGAAACGAAGTTTCCAGCTCTGCTTCGCTCCGCCGGCAACTCCGTTCGGCAGGGGCCGTGCCTGCTTGGCCTGCCGGCGGCGATGGTCGGGCATGCGGCCCGACCATTTCTGTCACGAGGCCTTGTTACTTAACTGCCTTTAACGTTATTTTTAGAGTTGAAGTGATAACTTGTAACTTTTGATGTTTAGTTACTCGACTTGTCAACTGTTTTCACTGTGTGTACGATTAATTTTGGACATATTGAGTAACTAATATTTGTTCGTGTTATGATAAATTTCGGAGCCCTGCGAAATGTTTCTGAAATTGAAGCATACGAAATATTTTCGTAAATTGTTTTTAACGAAGCATTTTGTAATGTTTCATCGTAAGATCAAGCACAAAACTTACATTTTGATCAGTGTGTGAAATATTAAAATCTCTCTTGCCTTGAACAGCCCGTTGCACGAGTCTTGTGCCACCAGCATGAGGGACCAAAGGGCATAGAATGCCATACTGCAGCATACTGCGGCAATCACCTGCGGAAAAATTGTTATTACCAAACGGTAAACCAGGCGGAGTGAAACTCGAGAAAATCGAAAAAGTGGAACTATGTAAATTTCAAGAGTTCTCCGGCAGCAGATTTCGAGAAGACTCAACGGAACAGCAGCAATGGGCGGCGGCTGGGCTTCTGGGCTAGGGTAGGAGGCGGCAACGCGCCAGCCGAGCCGCCCCCCACCATAGCCCGAACATGCGCAGTAGGCTTGTGTTTTATCCACGAGTCTTCCCGAAATCTGCCTCCGAAATGTTCTTATTCTGGGTCAATATAACACAAGGTAGATGTACGCCAGACCACGTCTCGCGTAACAGGCTTCGCGATATCTCACGAAACACTGTTACGCTGCGACGCGCCTGGCATACATCTACCTTGGCCTGCGGCGCTGACACCCGAGTCGGGTAGTGGAAAAATGTACACAAAGGTACGGGCCTACGGCCCGTCACCTCGACTAAGCATGCAGGGTTGTACATTTTTTCGCTTATTTTCGTCACAAGTACCCTCTAGCGTCTCAACGGTTTGAGCTAGGGCAAAACGGACGAAATTTTCGCCCAAAGGGCTCTACTTTGATGGGTTACCCCCTAGGAAACCATAAAAAGAATATTTTTAAAAAACGTCATTTTGGGGACCTGTTGTTTTTGATTTTTTAAAAATCCAGTTTTTGAGCTATAATGCTCATCTTCGAACTCGACCTGTCTTTTTTAGGTAGAAAACGACCCTGAAAATCCCAGGTCGCTCGCTCAATCCGTTCTCGAGTTATCGTGCGGACAGACAGACGTGCAGACAGACAGACAGACAGACAGACAGACAGAAAAAGTTTTTTCCGACCAGACGGAGTAATAGGCTTCGCTAATCGCTCAGCCAATGACAGAAACGAGCACCACCCCCCACCCCCCCCCAAAGATTTCTCTGGATCTGTCTGGAACATAACATAACATACCATTGAATACCGGCCGTGCTTACACACTAAAAAATCCGAAACGGTACGCTGCATAAAATGCCTGCACTGCAGTGCATAAAGAACCAGCATTTGTATGGATCTTTCTGGAACATAACATTAGAAACCGACGGCTCCTTGCAAAAGCAACCGTTCTGTACGGTACGTGTCTAAACCATACGATCTATACGGTACGTCTCTAAAACATACTATCCGTTTTCGTCGGTTTTCGCTAGCATATTTTCGGCAGCCGCATGGAGAAGTACTGTAAATGGAGATGCAACATGGGAGGCTATGGTCGGCACACTGTGTCTTGGCGAACGCATCTCCTCCGAAAATATTTCACTCACCTACATAAATCCGGCACCACTGCATTCCTCATAGTCGAATTGAGCTAAGCATCACAAAACATCGACACTAGGTCGTACCCGATTCGAACGAGCGCCGTTAGAACTCGCGGGATAGGCTTTCGGCCGGGTGCCGCCCGTGCCCAGCACGCGCCTGCTAGCAGCTACTAACGTTCCCGACCGCGCCGCCGCTCGCCATCGCCGCGCCATCTAGCGGCCGGCTCAGCGACTCGCAGCCCGCGCCCGCGTCGTCTGTTCCTCCTGCATTGTTCTTTAATGTTGTTGTGCAGAGTTCTTTCTCGAGTGTAAGCTGTTTGTAATTGTTTCGGTGGAGAAGACATTTGTGTAAGTGTTAAATTTGAGCAATGTAAATGCCAAGAGCGCTCTATGTAAATGGCTGTAGTGCTGCATTTATGTTATTTATGAAGTTGAAATGTCTCAACAGGTTAGACGCTATCCCTGGACCTGTACCCGGCGTCGTTTTCTATTCGTGACTCCCAACTGAAGCTGAAGTGACAAGTAGTGACAATGCCTATGAAGGCAAAGAAAAAGTTCACACACGTCAAAACTGGGAAATATCACAAAAGTCGCGGTGGAAGTGGTGCTAGTCATGCCTATGGTCGGCCTCGGTCTGCTAGCCCAAATTCAAATCAGGTTACTTATTTTCAATACCAGTTCAGTTTTCTGTACTAATGTATACTTTATAAACTAATCAATGATTTTGTTTTTATTACATTTTAGAGCTCGGATTTCAGTGACTATGGGGACTGTGAATCTGATAGCAGCAATGCTACAGCAGAGTTTATTGCTGCAGTGTCGGATATCTCTATCATATCTGATGATGCTGCAAGTGATGGAAATGTGTCAGAGGTAACATATGTACAGTTTATTCTTCTTTTAGTGACTTACATTAATACAACAAGAAATGTACTAATGTTTATTTTTTTCTTACAGTGTTCTGTTTCTTTGGACAAGTCTACATGTGTGGACAAACCTGAAGACACTGTTGTGCCACAAGATGTGTTGTTGTCTACCATACAGTTGCTCAAGAGTGTGTTGCCACCTAACTGGATTTTAGTTGCTGATCGTGACGGGTTCAACTGTCTCAAATTGTCACTAGGAGACGACCCTAGTGTGCAGAGGAATGTTCGTGTGACCCACAGTGGTGTTCTAAGAATAACTGTTCATCGCAAGGAACTGCCACCAGACCTTCTCAAAACACTCACCCGAAGTTGGCCCAGTGGACTTCGCCTGACTTCTCAGTCCAGCAAGCTTTTTGTGGACCAGGTTTTACGTGTTGTGCTTGCTGTGCGAGCTTATGAAGTGTGTGCTGGTGCTGACCTTCAGAAGTATGAAGAAATGTGGCCTAGTGAGACATCTGGCCAGATTGACAATAATCCATATGATGAGGGCCGGTATGTGAGGACATTTAGGTCGTCTCAGTGTTCAATGTTATTACCAGTTGAGAAGTGGTCTTGTGCTCATAGTCAACAAGCTTGTGAGAGGTTACGTAAAAAACGCAAACATTTTCTGGAGGAGGTTGCTAATTCCTCTACTAGAAATGATAATCTTACTGAAGCTCAAAAAAAACAAAAGTTATGCCAACAGCAGGAAGCTCTAAAGAATTTAAAGAAACAGCTCCATTATTATAAAAGTGTAAACTTAGAATTGCAGAGCAGTGGTGTTAATATTGATGAAAAATTAGGTGAATATTTTGCTGAATTAGTTAGACAAGAAAGATTGTCACCTGTTATGCATCTTTTTTTGCAACAACAGTTAAAATCAGCTTCTAAGAAAAGTTCAAAAGGAATGAGGTGGCACCCAGCCATGATAAGATTTGCTCTTCTCATTAAAAGTACATCTTCTGCTGCTTATGATGCCATGCGCCAAACTGGTATGATACATCTTCCTGGTGAGCGTACATTATTTGACTACAGTCATGCTGTACCTCGAGAGGAAGGATTGTTTACATCAAAATTAAATATAGTTGCTGGTAAAGTGTCTGAATTTCCTGAAAAGCACCAAAGGTTCCATAATTTATTAATGGATGAAATCCATATCTGTCAGAAACTAGTTTATAGGAAATCAGATGGGCGTTTAATTGGATATGTGAAACTCAATGAAGTAGAGGAAGAATTAAAACAACTAGAGGCTGCAGTTCAAAGTAGTACATTGTCTGACCCTGATGTTGCTACATGTATTCTTGCTTTTATGTTGAAAGGTGTGAGTAATAATGTTAAAGAAGTCATTGCAGCTTACCCTTCAGCAGCTATGAAGAAAGAATTTTTGTATGATAGAGTGTGGGAAGTTATACCAGCTTGTGAGAGAAGAGGTATTTATATTTTGGCTCTAGTTTCAGATGGTTGCTCAGTTAATAGGTCATTTATTTCTATGCACACTCCAGCTACTCAAAGTGAGCTACACCCTGGTCTTGTTTTTGATACCAAAAATCCATGTTCTCCAGATAGAAATTTATATTTTATTGCTGATCCTCCCCATCTGCTCAAGACCATTAGAAATAATTTTGCAAAGTCTGGTACTGGTAAAAAATGTACTCGTCTGCTCACAAAGAACGGAGAATTCATTGTATGGAAAACTATAGAGAAGTTGTATCTTGGAGATGCTGATATGTCTTTGCGTAGATGCTGTAAATTAAATTATCAGAATGTTTACCTTAATGGGTACAGTTGCATGAAGGTATCTTACGCAGCCCAAGTCCTAAGCAATAGTGTTGCTCAGGATCTCAAGAGTAGAAAGATCCCTGGAACTAGTGAAACAGTTACTTTTATCAAGAAAGCAAATGATTTCTTTGATAATGTTAATGGTGCTTGGTCATTGCAAGGCAAGAAAACTGCAAATTCCAGATTAGATCCCTACACCAGTGTGGATGATCCACGATTCGCAGAACTCCTAGAATTTGAGAAGTATTTTCTTGATTGGGAAGATGAAGTTAAGGTCAATGCCAAAATTCCTCAAGGTAGTAAAGGAAAGGCAATATTGAGTCATCAAACATTACAGGGTATTTACATAACTGTGAATGCATTCATTGGTGCTGTTAAATATTTACTAAATGATGTTGGTATCAAGTTTGTAAATGCTCGTGTGTTCTGCCAAGATCCTCTGGAGCAGTACTTTGGCAAGCAACGGGCTGCAGGTGGGGGAGGACAGAATCCAACCGTTGATGCTTTCATGAATACTGATATGAAGATTACTATTCACAGAGACCTTAATACAAGAAAAAGGTCTGGCAACACACAGGCCAGTACTTCTCATATAGACATCAGTGATGAAAAGTTGGCAAAATTACCAAGAAAGAAGATGTGAATTCCAAAAAGAAAAAAACCATTCTACAACAAGTATAAAATTTAATTGGCTGAGCGATTAGCGAAGCCCATTACTCCACTGACCGAAAAAGTTTCATTCTGTTTGTGGGTTTGTTTGTTTGTTTGTGTGTTTGTCTGTCCGCACGATAACTCGAGAACAAATTGAGCGAGCGACCTGGGATTTTCAGGGTCGTTTTGTACCATAAAAAGACAGATCGAGTTCGAAGATGAGCATTCTAGCTCAAAAATTGGACTTTTAAAAAATCTAAAACAACAGGTCCCAAAAATGACGTTTTTTAAAAATATTTTTTTATGGTTTCCTAAGGGGTAACTCATCAAAGTAGAGCCCTTAGGGCGAAAATTCTGTCCGTTTTGCTCTATCTCAAACCGTTGTGGCGCTAGAGGGTGTTTTTGACGAAAAAAGGCGAAAAAATGTACAACCCTGCATGATTAGTCGAAGTGACGGGCGTTGACGAGCCGGAGGGCCGTATCTTTGTGCACATTTTTGCACTACCTGACTCGGGTGTCAGCGCCGCAGGCCAAGGTAGATGTATGCCAGGCGCGTCGCAGCGTAACAGTGTTTCGTGAGGTATCGCGAAGCCTGTTACGCGAGACGTGGTCTGGCGTACATCTACCTTGTTAAGTTGTAGAGCAGCAGGACAATTTTACATTGTTAAGGAAACAAAGAAAAGAAAATAAACATATCAAAGCATATCACTTGCCTTGCATTTCACCCTGCTGGCTTCTTTCACAGTGCATACATAAATGATTCACAGAAAAATGAACAATCACAATACAAGTCACTATACACTGGAAGTGGTAGTGGAAGGGCACTGAGTCACTTTGCCAATTAATCGGGCTCTATGTCCTATTGCTAACTGGGTTTTATTCCCCTTTCCACTTTTAACTCTAGCATTCATTCTTCTTTTTAGGATACCACTTGCATAGGTATTGGTGATTGATTTTACAAGCTTACCCATAAATCTAAAAGACTCATCTTCTGATAAGAAGTTGTCAACAATTGTATCCCATAATAAGAGAAGGGTTGGGTGGTCAACCAAAGCTTTCATTACCCTATCATGGCCTAGACTACCACTACTATTCTCAAGACTTTGAAGTAATTTAGCTAATTCAATAAAAAATGGCAAAGCACTGTCATGAAGAAAAAACAATGACTTCCTGTTGATAAGGCTGGTCCAGTATTGCGGGGACTTTTCACTAACCACAGGGGGAGTTCCAATTCTAGCAAACTTTGACAAGATACACTTTTTAATATTTTGAATCTGAGCATTCTTGGGATGGCTGAAAGAAGCTCTAAAGTGTGATCTCAGTGCTGCACCACATACATGGTGTATATTCTACAACAGGAAAAATAACGTTATAATCTCACTCATTTCAAATGTTTACATTTAATTTATTAAAATTTAGAGTGTTCAAATTTTACCTGCTGACATAAGATGTGGTTGAAATCATCTTTTGAGCGAGTTCTTGCAACAGGGACACGTATGTTTCCTCTCATTGCCTTGCATATAATTATAAAAGCTGTGTCACATAATCTCTTCGCCAAAGGAAACAGAATATTCCAGCCAACTTCTTCGTCACATTTTGTGAGTTCACTAAATGCTTCCCATAATTTTTTCCTATAGTCCATGTCAGAAAACATTCTCATGACACCAGTTTGCAGCAATGGGCGAAGCGCTGAAGGAAGTGCTTTCTTCCCATCAGGTGATGAAAGGGGAACTTTGAAAACTTCCATTATACACATAGCAAATTTTTCCCCTTTATTACCTGCAATTACGGTCTTCATCTCCTTCAGAGAACACACATACTTTTGAGATTGAAAATGTCCTGGTACTTCAGCAGGCACGTCAAATTCAGCTACCAATTTGTCTAATATTTCAGGAAACTTTTCCTTGCAAAGGTCAATGGTTTCAGGTACAGGTGGAACTCGAGCGGCAGCAACTACAAGAAAAAAGTAACTAATCATTATATTTTAAAACTACTCTTAAAAGACAGGGAAATGTGAGGACCAATCTTACCCTTCCACCTGTGGTTTTTCAAGTGATTATTGTACCCACGAGCCGTTTTCAGGTAACTCCCACACGTAGTACAGCGAGCAAAATATTCCTCAGGTGGTGGCTTAGCTTTTCTGGACCTGCCGGAGGGAGTAGTTGGTTTCTTAAAACCGCTACTTTTGGTAGGAGTCGATGTCGGTAGGCCGCCCCCTTCGCTCAACTCTCCTTCGTCCACACCAAATGAATCATCATGTGATTCCACAGATTGAGTTGACACAAATGTCGAATTATTAATTCCGAATTCATCGTCCCCCACCGACACATTGAAATCATCATCATCATCATTATCATCTTCCATTTTACTACGGTCGCAAAACTTGTGCCAACGCTAACACACGATATCAAACAAACAGACGACGCGGGCGCGGGCTGCGAGTCGCTGAGCCGGCCGCTAGATGGCGCGGCGATGGCGAGCGGCGGCGCGGTCGGGAACGTTAGTAGCTGCTAGCAGGCGCGTGCTGGGCACGGGCGGCACCCGGCCGAAAGCCTATCCCGCGAGTTCTAACGGCGCTCGTTCGAATCGGGTACGACCTAGTGTCGATGTTTTGTGATGCTTAGCTCAATTCGACTATGAGGAATGCAGTGGTGCCGGATTTATGTCGGTGAGTGAAATATTTTCGGAGGAGATGCGTTCGCCAAGACACAGTGTGCCAACCATAGCCTCCCATGTTGCATCTCCATTTACAGTACTTCTCCATGGCAGCCGTTTGGGAATGGAAGAAAGTTATTAACCATTCATGTCTCGGTATCAGGTGAAAGTTCGATCTTTCCTCTTTGTATTCCGCCCATAGAAATAATAAATTTTTGCCTGCAAATCTAGTAAATAGGCTATCAAAAATATGCTTGCAAAAAAAGCTTCAAACGGATAGTATGTTTTAGACGCGTATCGTACATAACGTATGCTTTTGCAGGGAGCCATCGATAATGACCGTTCGTTCTCTAGCCTTATATGCAGGCGCACGCTAGCCGTTTTTCCGACGTCTGCAGCGGGATAACCAGACCTCACAGCCGGTAAGAGCCAGCAGCAGCGGTGGGGTCGGAAAAAATCCTAACCTACGGGTGGATTTTTTGCGAGGCTTCGTCGTCGGAACATATATTTGATCCCCTTGTCCCCGGAAAAAAGCAGATGGGGACAACGCCAGGAGATGACGGTACCGTAGGGTCGAATATTTTCTACCATCCGATTAACAGTGTGTGGTGGGTGGTGGGAAGGGTGCAACGAGCCCGTTACGACAAATGACTTGACGGACGGACGACTGACTTTACGGCGACTGCAGCGCCATCGGGCGGCGTTGCACCTGACTCCCCGACATAGGCTTCCCTCCGCGCCGTGAGAGCGCTCTCTCGGCGCGTTGGGTCTACCTCGTCCGGTCGGCTGATACGATATTACAGAAAATAACCATGAATTACTACGTTTGGCGACTTCAAAAAATGGAGGAAGGGGGAAGTAACCTAGGCTCTCACGTTATATATGTCTCCGGCTCATACAAACTACGTAACAGTACGACTTTCTTTGCGGCGCAAAAACAGAGCCAATCTACAATTCAATACGATCGAGTTGAATAAGTTTACAAAATGAGAAATGTAACAATGAATGGTCTCTTCGACACTCCGCAAAAATACCTCACCTCACAATGTAGCACATGTGGCACATGTGGCACATGAAATTCTACCGTTTGGAATTGTGGTCCCTGAAGACAAACCTCCTGGTTCTAAGATAATAAAACTATCCCACAAAGCCTAATTCTTTGAACCCAGACACCACGTAAAAATAAGGTTCACTCTTAACCATGCGCCCAACGCGTAGGTTGGCGGATCGAGGCGAATAGTCTACTGGGCAAATACAGATATTTCACGTAAAACAGGCAGCAAAATTTACTCGTCCCAGCGAGTTCCAAACTGGAAAGAAAAGATAAAATTTATTTATATTTATCAATAATTCATTTATAAAAATTATTTATAATGATACTGAAATAAAATGGTGAGAGAATTTTCATTACATTCTATGTTAAGATATATTAGAGAACTTTCAATTAATAAACTACAATGACTCGTTATCCTCAAAACGCCTAAGAGGGATGAGGTGAAAGTGAATCGAAGAATGAAAAATTAATTCGCGGAGCGAGTTCGCTCGCGGCAGTGAGCGGACTCGGCGAAGCGCTACTCATTGGGTCGCACAAAATTTTGTCTGTGAGAAACGGTCAAAAACATAATGTCCAAGACTAATCTCAGTCAAGGACAAAAAGTCCAAGACAAAAATCAGACATCTATAGTTTTGTCTGTGAGAAACGCTGTCAAGGACAAAAGCTTCTATGCCTGTACAAACCGCTGTCAAGGACAAAAAGTCCAAGACAAAAATCAGGCATATATAATTTTGTCTGTGAGAAACGCTGTCAAGGAGTTCAAGTCCGAGACAAGTTCAATCATACACTGCAAATTGTGAAAAACGCTGTCATAACACTGTCCGAGACAAATCTCCAGGACAAATAGCAAATATAGGTTTTCGTAACGAGGTCCAAGACAAACATAGAAGACAAACAGCATAGATATGTTTTCTCTGTTGGAAACGGAATTTAGACTGTAAAATGAAAATTAAAAAAAATATAATGTCCAAGACTAATCTCGGTCACGGACAAACAAGTCCAAGACAAAAATCAGCCATCTATAGTTTTGTCTGTGAGAAACGCTGTCAAAGACAAATGCTCCTATGCCTGTGTAAAACGCTATCAAGGACAAAAAGTCCAAGACAAAAATCAGTCACATCTAATTTTGTCTGTGAGAAACGCTGCCAAAGACAACAAGTCCAAGACAAGATGAGTCATGTACTGTCAATGCTACTGAAACGCTGTCATAACACTGCCCAAGACAGAGACCATAAATATGTTTGGTGACTATGTCCAAGACAAGTGTCCTAAACAAATGAAATAAATAAAAGTTTTGACCATTCAAGACACATCTATAAGAATT